ATGCCCACAGACAAATAAGAGGGACTGATACTACCTGTGTCACACAGAGATTCCTCCAACTTTGAGGAGTAGCAGGAAAAGTATTCTCTGGGTAACAGAAATTTCAGGCCAAGTGAGCAAATGATACACGGCTTCACTTAACTTGAATATTTTTGTTGTAAAAAAAGTTGAAATAAATATACAAAATATTACATTACCAGACTCTCAAACACAAATATATTCCTAAATACATATGTAAATCCATCTTCAGCTGTAGAAGTATCATAATTTCCTAGTACATAAAATATTTACATGCTATGAGTTACAACAGGGTTCAAAATCACATCAAACTGCACTTCATGAAAGCTACTGAATATTCGCAAAAAATACAATGCCCCAACGAAGGTCACAACCCCAGGAATCCAGCCTTATCTATGAATATAGTTTACTGCTAATTCATGCAATAAAAGGAACTGAGAACAATTTCGTTAAAAAAAAAAATCCTTTTAGACAAACCACGTAACTCCCTACTTACCTCGGCAAATCAAGGAGGGTCTCTGTGCTCAGTTTGCTCCTACCCCAGCTGCACAGAACCAGCAGAATTATTGCAGCACACCAACTTTAAGAGCAAACCGCTCATGACACCTATGAGATACCCCAGAGACTGCGCTTTCTTGTCTAGCGATTTACTTGACTTTCTGCAAGAGTTTGCTTCCTGTTCGGAACCTGTATTTTGTTTAGTTTAATTCCCAGCTGTGAGTTAAGAACGAAAAGAGAAGGAAGAGAATTGCTAGAAGCGCTGAACTGCAAGATCTGAAACAGGATAGGACAGTCCCGGGAACCCGGCTGTCACATGCTACAAAAGCAGCATGACACCAACTTATCCTGGTGTTTACAGCAGCCACCTCCCTTTTTGCGGGTGAGGCAAATAGGCTGTAATAAAACCACTTAAAAAGGGCTTGCCTGCAGCTTGCAGCTATGGCAGTTCCAAACCTTTTTCAGCTAATGGCTTGCATATTCAGTGAGAAACATGTAAGCCACACGATTCAAGGATAATAGATTAGAAACAAAACAATCCGTACTTAACAGTTGTAATTGGATTTAGAAGACTTTTAGCTATGCAATACTATTTGTGATCTGGTTACATATATTGTGCCTCTGTTTGGACAACATGGATGATGTTTAGTGTTTAAGTGCTATTAAGAAATGTCAGCTGAAGAACAAGTGGAATATATAAAGAAACAACTCCCAGACTTGGCTTTAGTGATTTTTTAAATAATAATTTTGTGCTGACTTCAGCCAAGTTACCTAACAACATTTTTTACTTGCTTATGAACTCAAAATGCGGGGGTGGAGGGGTGGTCTATTTATCACACCTCACACACACACAGGACTAATTCCTGCCCCAGAATCTGTTACTAGAAACTAGAACTAGAAGCAAATGCTGGACCTTACTCCCAAAACCCGCACGTCAGGGAGCGCGCTACTTCTGACTGCGACCCGAGGGTTCTGAAACCGAGAACCAAACCAGACGGGTCGGCACCGCTGGGGCAGCGCCCAGCCCGGCCCGGCCCCGCCGCCGAGGGG